GAGAGATTTTAAAGGGCTGTGGCTTACCGTTAATTCGATTATAGCTTTACTGCATGTACCACATAATTCAAAGAGGGAATACTACTCAAACCTGTTCCTCTAGAATGACACCAACTATCCGGAATTGGTTAAATTTGCAATAAGCGCGTTCTTAAGTTTGAAACGAAGTGACCACGATAGCATTATTATGCAACGGTAATCTGTGGGGGAACTTGCAAGAACCTGTGAAGAACTGTACATAGGTAAGTGTCTGTTAGCAACAATATTCAAAATCAAAACGAACAAACAAGCTCTGATGAAAAACAGATAGGCGGCTGAAAGGATAGATTTTTTCGGTTCTGAGTGGGTGCTAAAACCGATAGGTTTGAAATCGAGCACCGGGTTATATGGTACAATCGCTAGTGTGAGCCCTTTTGAGGTAATCTTCCGGGAATACCGAACACCAAGGTGAACTGATCTGACGTGATTCCTCGTTCATGAAACCAAGCAAAACGGCTTTGATGGGACAGAAAGATTTCCTGAAATTCACCGGAAAATCGAAGCTGCTTAAAATTGCCCGTACCAAATACCTCGCGATCTCGAATCTGAATATGTTTCCACTGTAAACCGCGTAAGCGCCTCCAGTACTCGTCCGCCTGAACGAAGAGGTTGGTAAACAAAACAGAGGTGAAGGAAAGTAACAGAACAATCAGCAAAATTTGCCTTTCGGAAAAACAAATCTAGATTCAAAAATGAATTATAATCCAATAATGCGTATGATGAAATTCGGCCGAGAAAAAACCCTTGACGATCTTAGTGTTGCACGGTTATCTGAACTGACCAAACGAGTACCCCTTAGAGAGGAATAACATTCGTGACAGAAATCACGATAAGTCCAACTTATCAGCTATTGATGTTACCCTTCCAAAAGAACATCGCTGACCTAAGGAGAATTCCTTATCACGTACCACAGTTAGGTTATGGATACATTGGCGTACATAGAACAAAACGTGTCATGGATGTCTTCGAATCTCCCACAACCCTACAGGTTAATGAATGGAGCGGATCGTAGTTACCATTTTTCAATACAATACATATCTCGAGGAGGTCTTATTCATTTTGGCTGATGTGAGAAACCGCCAATCACATTCTTTCGCGCAATCGAACCATGCTACACAAAGACGTGAGTAGGTCCTCACAACATTGGTAAGCGTTAGAGCAAGCAATTGCGGAACAGGGTTCTCATGAGGGTTGAGATTCCTAAGCGGTTCCACGTTCAGTCTAATGGGTGCGATGAGCTTCATCATCTTGCGCTACCATGGGTATGGTATGGATTCTCTTTTGCATTGCTTTGAAGTCGGATGCTTCCAAGAACTTTTACCAACAAGTTGGAGAAAGACGATCGGTTCAGGCAAACAAACTGACAAAAGACAAAACATTTACTCACATTTTTGGCTGCACCTTCCACAACCACAATTCCCGGTTTCCCTGGCATAGATACGCCACCAAGCTTCAACTCGGCTGCCCATTCTTGAATCAGCCTTCTTTTAATCGGGTTTCGAATGTGGTGACTCACAATCCACATACAGACCATAATTTCAGTCGGTTTGTTTATCTCATCACCTGCTTCTTCGCAGTTTGCAGTGGTTTTCAATGTCAAATCTGTTAACTCCCTTTGTAACCAATCGACTGTGGAGCAGATCACTGGCTCTCCGTTGCCCACCGCATCATCTAGCCACGCACTAAAGAGTGAGGTGACCTTGCGCTCGTTGATCCCGTTGTTCAGGGCTGCAGGTAATAGACGAACAGTTATCACAGGAGGCACGGGATTCTCCGGATCCCCAGAAGGATAGCCCGGTGGCAACTGGACTGTCAGTTCTGCTTTATCCTTTAACTGCGTTGGAAGTAGGTGGAATTGAGAAATATAAGATAAGTGACCATTGAGGTAAGAAAATCAGGAACTTCAAAACAAATGGGGGAATCATTTTACGCATCTCAATCAATGAATACGCAGCGGCTTTAAGAAGGGAAGTGTTCCGATGGGCCAGTGGGAGGAAATTAGTTTGAGGAAAACTAAGAAAATGAACTCGAATCAGGCTTTGGTGTTGTGCTTATACCCTCCAGCCATCTGTTTTCCGTGAATTGAATAACTAAGTAAAACTCTCACTATACTTCTCAAACCAAAACACCACCAGAACACCACAGAATCAACTGATTGGTTTTGTCTTCAGAGTTCCCTCACATATCCAGGTATACTATACCATTGGGTTGCGGGATTTGCTTCTTTTATTGTATTTATCTCATTTTTAATTTCAAAAAGCGAAACGATTGCAGTTTATTTAGCCCATTTGGTTGGATAAGTCAATTTTATGAGACTGATAACCGGACCACATAGTAGAATGAGTGAAGAACGTTTAGCTGAAACACCTTGGAACCCAGGTTATGAATATGCCACAAATAGATATTTGGCTCAACTAAACACATTAAATTCAATCATCAAATAAAATAATCCAACAGACAGAGAGTTATTTAAGAAATCGAAAATTCTAGAGACATGATAATTCGCCGACCCAGGTAGAACACAAACATTTTAGGAATGCTAAATAAAAATACTGTTTTTTATCTGACAGCTTATTTTCTAAACGATTCTTTATTTTTTATGCTATATCCTTCTTTAGTTTTTGACTTGACAGCTGCTTTCGTTTTCAAAGGATTGCCTCCGAGGTTTTTTCCCCTTTAGTTGAACCTAGACCGTGAAAATGAAAGGTTGACGATAAAGGGTGCGTGGTTGTTGTTTCTAGTTGAAACGAAAGATCGTGTCTGGTTTTATCTATTACCAACAAAATGAAAATGTCAGTGGAGTTCACATTGTCGGATTTGTGCTTAGATGAAAAAAGCACAGGCATTATGGCTGGCTGGCAGCACTTAGTCGCCCATTGCGACGAAAAATGACTGTGCTCCCACTGGTCAGGAAGAACATCACGTCGCACCTAAGATAGATATCACGATCCCGGCCGGAGACCCAGACGCACGCGTTGGTCGTCTGTTGCCCGATGGGATCCATCTTGGTCATCATCATGGCCTTGATAGCTGTCGTTCAGATATTAGTGATAGACCTCCTAGCATATACTCAGAACACAGTCTAGTCCTTGTTAACACGAACTTCAGACATCCAAAGCATAACCTCGCCACTTCACGTGTCTTACGCTAACCGTTCATTAGGGGGATATAGAAAAAGACATGAAGTGTTCTATCACCCCTAAAAGCGATTGGATCAGAATGAGATGTGTTAGTGGTTGTGCACGGGAGTAGTCGTTCTGCGCAATCCGTAAAGGAAAAATTGAAAAATTCGTTTTCCAGGTGTTAATGTCGAAGTAGAAAACTGAATATGTATTCGGAATCGAACTGAAAACTGCCATTCTCTTACTGGTTTGTTCTCTGTTTAGTACGTTCAATGTTGCAATGGTTACCGGACTGTGATCAAGGTTTCCTCGAGACAGGTGATGTAAACTAGATCTTCATGAACTGCGGAGACCGCTACACAGACACACACACACAGCTTTTTCGTGGGTATCTGCTGTCAGATATTATCTAAGAAGAATCGTTGTAGCAAAAGAAAAACTATTATCACCTTTTTAATCATACTAATTCAGATCGAATTGAGTTGATATGGTTTCTGAAGAAAATGTAGTATGCTGAATAATCGCGTTGGAAGCGAATAGTTCGGCGCTCATGGTTGAAGTAATGGTTAAAGTAATTTGGAACCGAATGTGGCAATCTCGGCCGTTGTTTTTGTTGTTTACTTTTGTTTTTCAGTATTTTTCAGTGATTCCCATTAGACTGGTGATATGGGCGGATATGAAAATTATCACGATTTCCTTACAAAATCCTGCTAGGATAAATATATCAAACAACCGACACCGCAGGAAGCGAAGACAAATACTGGCCTATCTCAAACTGTGTAGAAGAAGAATCAACAAGCACGGTAATATCAGAAGCAATCACTTCACAGAAAAATAAATATCAGCCAGTGAGCGAACGGAGAAAAAAAGAAGAGAATATATGTTACCGTTTAGTAGTTCTTAGATGCAACATAAACGGATGTTCTTTCGCGAAAATCCATTGACGAGTGTGAACAGACCGTTTTGATTGCCTTCGACAATCTTTCGTCTGGGAAGTCCGAATTGACCAAATCTCTGGCAGAAATAAACCACTCGAAATCTTGCATTCCTTTAGTTAAACCATGCTGCTGGTATGATAGAGTTCATCGATGAGAGAGAATCATCCTAACCGCGTTCAACTGAGAGACTGGTGAAACAAAACGGGGATACCCGAAAGCTAGCAACCGGCTGCCTGCAGGAAAGCATATGTTGCTGTGATCCCCAAGTAGGTCCTCGTTAAACTCTGTCAGACAGGGCACCCTGAGAAATCTCACATAGTGGAGGCATCACAATGCAAAGTCAAATAATCTGAGGTGCATGGATTCTCAGCAAGCTTTGTTCTACGGAATACAGATTTACTACAATTATTCTTTAATTGCTGAAGCGAACTTGAGCTACTCTCGACAATACGGACTCCAGTTATGTCATTAGGCAGTTTCGATTCTGAAATGACTAGTTTCGGTTTCGCTAGGTGAACTATGCAGATGGTAGATGGAACGACGCTTGACCGCTGCTCAACAGAAAACAGTGTATTTGAATTGGTGCACCAGATCGTTATTCTTTAGACTATTTTACTATTTACATGATCGGTTAAACGAAGAAACTGGAAATTACGCACGAATGAACATGGAATGAACCTGGAAGGACGAGCTTGGACTATGAAACTTCGATAAATTAATTTTCTTTCCTGTACTTCAAGGGATACAAAGACACGGACAAAATACAGAATATCCGAATAAAAAATTCAATCTATACAGAAATTTGAATTTGAATGATTGTTGAGATCGTCCGGAAACTTACTGGAAAACGGATGATATGTGACAACCGATTCGATTCGGCCGTTGTCTGTCGAGATCCGTAAAACTCGGAATAAACTACTGCGATCTATTCACGTAGACCGCAATCTTCAAAACAGGAACTATGCGAAACCGCATGAATGCAGCAACATGAACTAGATGTAAACCCAAGACTAAAACGTTGATAGTGACTCTGCAGGCATATTGACACTGATTTATGAGTTGCAAGCACATTCAAATCTCTTCCCGTTTATCGGATAAAATAGTCCTAGCAGTGCTAGATGAACCTTGGACTTGTCAAAAATAGTGAAATGCTTTTGATTGGAACGGTGTCCGAAATGTGGATTGATTTGAGAGAAACCTTTTCAAATCTTTTTGAAGTTACTCATGAGTAACGCAACCTTTTTCGAAAACATCAAGGATTAGAGAATGTGTTTACGATAATTCATTTGAGTATCGAGGTTAAATAAGTTAACTCTCTTGTTCTTGCGTTCTCATTCTAATTTATGGTTTTTCCTTGCAAGTCGAGATTAGAATCATCCTGCAGTTGGATGCATCAAGCAGAATCATTCTTCATAGAGCACTTGCATTTGGTCTTCGGAAGCTGGCGTCTCAGTAGAGTGTACTGCGCTCATTCGATTCAATGGAATGTGGAACCATTCGCTGGTCTGTAGCCATACTGAGTAAGTAAATTATTGTATGTTCTGTATTGGAACAGAATTTGGGAACAATGGATCACGACGGATACAATATGTCCACTGTCGGTTGTGATGGAATACCTTGAATAGATTGGTGTCCTCGGTGGGACCAGCCAAATCAGGCTGTCAATAACTCTCAGAAATTGGAAAGACTGAGTGTTTGTTCTGTAAATCATGGGAGTGTAAATCACTGAATATCCTGCGGCTACAAGTTACTGATACGATATCGATTATTCAAAGTTCAGTGATGCACAGTCCATTGATAGCTTACCGCATCAGCTGCCACATTTGACTGCATCGACATGTTCTAAGCAAAAATATCTATTAGATAACTTGAGGCGACTTTACAGCTTAGCCTTGAATTCGTTTCGCTCCCTAAACAGACTGACCCCATTCAAACTACGAATTCCATATATATTTCTGCAGCCATCTTCCATTATACCCCGATTCGTGTCATTTATTCGTTACTAAACGTTTTTCGTCTGAGTTGACCCAGCGTGTTTGTCGATCGGGCCGACTGTTTCCCCACCCGTTACCCGTATCACCTTCTCCCATTAGTTGCTCGACCCCACCTCTCCGTGATGTTATTATTCGTAACCCGTTTGGCATCCACCGATCGACCGATCAACACTCCCAAAACACAGACACACACGATTATTCCCGCAGATGTTTGGGTTTTGTTTCCGCACATTCGGTTTCCTGTCTGTCAGTCATTGGACCCCTATGCACGTGTGCTTGTCACCTAATTTATTCTGACCGTTTATTTTGATTGAACTGCACACAATCGCAGCCGTTGCGTCAAACGCTCTGACCACTTTTGAAGGTTCTTTTTGAGAGAACGCTTTTCACTTTGACACAATGTAATATCACACCACTGTCGCGAATCTCCGATTGCCGACACTTTCACTATACGAAGTCGCTCTCGAAAGCGTCCTCGGAATACATTTTATCTGGCCTGAACCATGTATTGGCAATGGCTAACGTGTGGAGTGTGCTGAATTCCACAGAATCCTCGAATCTAATAACTTTGATAAGGGAGCCCCGGAATATGAACTAAACTGGAAGAGGCTCTCCATTGCTTTATCTACTACGTAGGATCACAAAATCTCCAGAACTTAGATGGCTTCTGTCGTAGCATTCTCCTTTCTTTCAAATGCAAAATTGATCACTTTTGCACGGATGCCTCTTTTATGTGGTCTCAATTTTCCCCACCTCATAGGCTACGAGATCCTCATCGATACAAATTGTGCAATATTACACCACGCACTGAACCGTTTGTTTTTTGTTCAAACATGTGGGCGTACCTCGTGAGCTCAGCAAGTGCGGTTGGCCTGTCTGTCGAATAACTCATTGGGCTGTCGGTTATGTGCATTCGCAAAATATCCATTCATTTCAATGGTGGTTAGTGTGAATACCAAATGGCAAATCTTTGTGACGTTCTCTGAGCTCACTATTCCTAATGCGATGCAGTGGGAGGCCTTTGAAGCAGAAAAGAAGAGGGGGGGAGTAAAATACAAAATTTCGATTACAGAACATTAAGGAACACATGACGATATACAAACAAAGAAGAAAGTACAGAATTTCAGAAGGTAAATGTCCTAAATTACGCATATGGAAGAGCGATCGATTATGTTTACCAACAGCACTCAGAATATGAGCAAACCATTTTCGATTAGTTTCCAAGATGACCGGGCGGTACTTCATAGTATCCATTCCAGGAAGAAGAGAAACATCAATACACGTGTTTTCTATGGGTTAGGACGAACGTGATGTATTTCTGGCAAACTCGATACGTTGTTGTTAGGGCTAATGATTACGGACTGATTACACGGTCACTATGGGACACAAACAAAGCAATTTGAGTATTACGCACTTCTTGATTTCTGCTTCGAGGAGTCTCTCCGAGCACCACAAACGTTTCTTTCAACGACACGCCTAATACGAAGTGCAGCATTACACAGAAAAGAAGATGAATTTCGAGGGTTTCCTTAGTTGCAGAACAGACCCAATTCATTGCTCATCACTTCATAAGTTGCGTTGATATACTCAAATTCGATGTTCCATT